CCGGGCCCCCCCCTGCCCAAAGCCCTGGCACCCACTGCGCCCTCCCCTCGTGGCAGAGCCCCATGCTTGGGTTAACCGACCGCGTCGCACCCTTTGTACGTGTGTTACTGTGTGCGTGTGAGTGCACATGTGTGTGCACACGGGGGGTGTATGTGCGTGTGAGTGCACATGTGTGTGCACACGGGGGCGTGTATGTGCGTGTGAGTGCACGTGTGTGTGCACACGTGGCACCCACTGCGCCCTCCCCTCGTGGCAGAGCCCCATGCTTGGGTTAACCGACCGCGTCGCACCCTTTGTACGTGTGTTACTGTGTGCGTGTGAGTGCACATGTGTGTGCACACGGGGGGTGTATGTGCGTGTGAGTGCACATGTGTGTGCACACGGGGGCGTGTATGTGCGTGTGAGTGCACGTGTGTGTGCACACGGGGGGGTGAATGTGTGTGTGAGTGCACATGTGTGTGCACACGGGGGGAACAGGATGTGTGTATGTGAACAGGGTGTGTGTGTGTGTGTGTGAAAACGGGGTGCATGTGTGTGTGTGTACACAGGGGGGTGAACGGGGTGCATGTGTGTGAACAGTGTGTGTGTGTGTGTGTGTGAAAAGGGTGTTGGTGTGTAAGGGGTGTGGGTGTGAAGTGTATGTGTGAACAGTGTGTGTGTGAACAGGGTGTGTGCGTGTGTGAAAACGGTGTGTGTGTGTGTGTGTGTGCACACGGGGGGGGTGTGTGTGCGTGTGAGTGCACATGTGTGCATGTGTGCGCCCTGCACCTGTGCTGCAGAACCAGGAAAACCCATCTGGACAGTTCCCAGGAAGGCAATTAACATCCAGCCATGTGTGGCCTTCGCCACGGGAGACCCCGACAATCTGGTCCCATCTCTAAGCCCAGCTCGGTGGGAACTGGCCCCTCCCGGTAGCCATCGAAGGGGGATACAGTCAAGGACATTTCAGGCATGTGTGCGCCCTGCACCTGTGCTGCAGAACCAGGAAAACCCATCTGGACAGTTCCCAGGAAGGCAATTAACATCCAGCCATGTGTGGCCTTCGCCACGGGAGACCCCGACAATCTGGTCCCATCTCTAAGCCCAGCTCGGTGGGAACTGGCCCCTCCCGGTAGCCATCGAAGGGGGATACAGTCAAGGACATTTCAGGTCGCTGCTCCCCGCCCCTTCGGCCAAGCCCCGCCCCCCTCGGCCAGGCCACGCCCCCTACTGGCCCCCACCCTCTCAGCCAGCAGCTCTTCCTTTCCTTTGTCTCTTTGGTGCCATTTCCAAAGACTTGGCTCCTCCCGACACCGCCCAGCCCTGCGCTTATTTGCTAACCCAGGAAGCTGGGGCAGACCAGGTTCCCCCGACCCCATGGCGGCCCCAGGTCTCCACCCTGGAGAAGAGCAGCCGGGGCGTCTTGGCGGGGGGCTGGCTGCTCTGAGGATGTTCTGGCGCTTTGGGACTCCAGGCGGCCTCATGCCCCTTCCCTGCGCCCTGCGTCCCGTTCCCATGACAGCAGCATCTTCCCTGCAGGTCCCCTGTCGTCCGCTTTGCCATCTTCCGGCCGGGCCTCACGCCAGGCCTGTGCGGGGATGCGCTGCCCGCCAGGCCCCCTGCTCAGCTCCCGGAGGGGCCGTGCCGAGCGTCTGGTGTTTGTCAAGTGTCAGCAGACCGCCCCCGTAACCCTCCGCCTCGGAGCAGCCGGACTAGGCCGGATTGTGGGCATCTCGCCATGGGCTCCGGCCCTGCACAGAGCCCCACGCATCTCCATCACCCCCCACACAATAACTCACCCTCACAATACACACACACGCACAATAACTCCTCCCCATGTTACACACACACGCACACACACACTGGGCACAATTACACACACACGCACAATAACTCCTCCCCACAGGATCAAGCTCTCGAAACATGTGAGTGGCCTCAGCTCATTGACTTCAGAGGGACAATTGAGCCTCAGGCACGTGCATAAGTATCTCGCTGAATCGGGTCTGGGGGCCTCCTCCTGAGTGCTTGGTGTATTGCAGTGCCACTTGCCTCAGTTTCCCCTACCTCTTTTAGCCCGTTCCAGATGGAGCAGCGCCTGGCTCCTCCAACCAGACCACTTCGCAGCATCCTGTCCCTTTTGGGGTCACAGAGTCCTTTATCCAAGCGCAGCACAAGTGAATCCAGGCCCGCTAGTGGCAAGGGAGACAACGAGGGCAATTGCTCTAGGGCTTGGTGGTTCAAAGAAGCCCAGGGCTCCAGCTGCCACAAAAGCCGAAGCAGCAGGGCAGCCCAGTCTCTGGGCCCTTTAAATCACAGTTGTAGAGCCACACCGTGCACTCTGGGCAGAGCTAGGGGCTAAGGGAAGGTGCCAAGCCACGCTCCAGGCAGAGTTGAAGGCTGGCAGGCTCTAGGTTTCTGGCAGGCTCCAGCTGGTTCAAGATACCAGAGACAGGACACTTCCCCTAGTCTCTCCCCAAATGAGCTCACCCAGCTCTTCCTGGAGCCAGGCCTTGCTCTCCCTCAGTGTAGCTTTACTTCTAATTCGGCCTGGGCCACTCTCCAGCCAGACCCAGGCTGTCTAGTTGGCCTCCCAAGCTCAAATTGCCCTTCACACCTGGGAGGTAATCACTCCATCCCAGGTCCCAAAGGGTTAACCTGATTTTCTCAACACTCTCAGGCAGCAGAGTTCAGTTTTGGTTATTTGGTCGAATGGGTTTAGTCTCACTGAACTATTTGATTGCATCTGATATTTACTGCAGCCTTATTTACTTTTTGGAGAAAGTAACTAAGGAAGTGTTATTTATTCCTTCTCATAATGCAAGAACTATGGGTCATCACATGAAATTAATAGGTAGCAGGTTTAAAACAAACCAAAGGAAGGACTTCTTCAGACAATGTTCAGTTCACCAGTGGAACTCCTTGCCAGAGGATATTGTGAAGGCCAAGACTATAACTGGGTTCAAAAAAGAACTAGATACATTCATGGAGTAATAGGAGTAAATAACACTTCCTATTAGCCAGAATTGACAGGGAGGGTGTCCCTTGCCTCTGTTTTGTCAGAAGCTCAAAATGAGCATCAGGAATTGGATCACTTAATGGTTCCCTGTTCTGTTCATTCCCTCTGGGGCACCTGGCATGGGCCACTGTCATAAGACAGGATGCTGGGGTAGGGGGAAGTATGACTGTTCCTATGTTCTTATGATACATGTGCTGGTGTTATCAGTCACAGAGCACTATAAGTGGACAAAGCAGCTGACAATAAAACAAGTCCAGAGCTAAAACCCTGCTGCAGAGCAGCCAGAGGAGTAGGTAAAAGGCAGCCCCAGACAGAGACCTGAGCTGGCGAATGGGGCCAGTAGTGTTTCAAGAGATGGTGAACCCCCTAGATGGCTTGAGCAGGAGCAATTAGTTTCTTCTCACTCTAAATCACTGTCCATTATGCCATGTGGCCATACTCCCAAGCATCAGGCAGTGGCTACTGGATGTGAAATGATACTGGACTGATTGGGCCAGCAGCTGTAGTCAGTACAGCGATGTTGAGGTCTTTATGACGTTCAGGGACAAAACCCATTAACCTCTAATAGGAGCGATCAGTAGGAGTTTATTTCTGTCTCAATTGGACTCCGTTAGCTCTGTCACCATGCAGAGAGCTGGTCTCCACCTGAGATGACTCCTGTGACTCTGTGTTTTCTAAGCACTGAAGCCTGCTTGCTTTCTACACACCCCACACAAGCTCTCACCAATTGCTATCTATGAGTTGACTGTGTGGTGCAGGGTTTGAGGCTGATGTTAGGTGCATTAGTGAGGGTAGCTGAGTGGCCAGATCAGGAGTGACTTTGCCCCATGTGCATTGCTACATCCTAATTGCAACAAATAGTACCAGACACGGCCCGGTCCGTCACAACACACATGCACAATAACTCCTCCCCATGTTACACACACACGCACACACACACACACACACACGCACAATAACTCCTCCCCACGTTACACACACACGCACACACACACACACACACACACGCACAATAACTCCTCCCCACATTATACACACACAAACACACACACAACTCATCCTCACAATCCACACACACACACGTCCCCACCATCCTCACACTCCCATGCTCCTTCCCACACACACACACTCCACCCACTTACAGTCCAGCTCCCCCCATGGCACCCCGGTTTCAGTCTGGAAAAGAGCAGACTGTGAGTGACAGCAGCTTTCCTGTATCTAACAGGGTGTCACAAGGAGGAGGAGGGAAAATTGTTCCTCTTGGCCTCTGAGGACGGGACAAGCAGCAAGGGGCTGAAACTGCAGCCGGGGGGTTTAGGGTGGACACGAGGGCAAAGGTCCCGCCTGTCCGGGTGGTGAGACACTGGGATAAGTTGCCGAGGGGGGTTGTGGAGGCTCCGTCCCTGGGGATGTTGCAGAGCAGGTTGCGCAGACGCTGCCAGGGATGGTCCGGCTGGTGCTGGGTCCGGCCGGGGGGGCCGGGCTCGCTTCTCGAGGTCCCGTCCAGTCCCGGCGGGCGTCCGAAGGGCAGCGCGGGAACGCCCCTGCCGACGCACGGAGCCTTTCCAGCTGACCACGGGGTGTTTTGCAGCTCGGGGCCCCTTGGGGGGAGGGAATTTTGGCCACGTAGGTCACAGCATTTGCAGTTTGCGACTGACGACGTTTGGGCATCTCCTGGGCTGACCACTGGGCAGTTTGGGGACTGGAAGGGGGGCTGCGTCCGAAGGGCAGCGCGGGAACGCCCCTGCCGACGCACGGAGCCTTTCCAGCTGACCACGGGGTGTTTTGCAGCTCGGGGCCCCTTGGGGGGAGGGAATTTTGGCCACGTAGGTCACAGCATTTGCAGTTTGCGACTGACGACGTTTGGGCATCTCCTGGGCTGACCACTGGGCAGTTTGGGGACTGGAAGGGGGGCTGAGCCCACTGAACAGGGTCAGTGGCTGCTGTCGGGGGATCTCCTACGTTCTGCAGGCTTGGCAGGGGGGGCACCCCTGTCTCCGGCACCCGGGAATGTCCGCCCAGGTCTCAGCGGAGGTGCAGGCAGGCTCCCACCTCCCCAGGGCCTGCAAGGGTCCACGCAAGGGTGCACAGGCCCCCCGCCAGGCAGCCGCGGCCACACAAGCGCTGCCATTATCTGGGTTTGGGGCAAGGATTCCTGGGGCGCCTCCCTCCTGGGATTGCTTCACAGTGTGTCCTGGGAGAGCTTGGCAGGTCTCCCCAGGCCCCTTTCCTGGGCCCCTTCTGGGCCCGCCCGGCATGTAGCTGCCCTCAGGGTCCACTTCTAGCTGGTCCAGCTTGTGCCAAACCACGGGGAACATGCGGTAAGTCATGGAGAACACACAGGGTACGTCATGGAGAACATGCAGTAAGTCATTGAGAACACACATGATAAGTCATGGAGAATACACATGGTAAGTCATGCATATGTAGTAAGCCATGGAGAACACACGGTGAGTCTGAACACACGTGTTAAGCCATGGAGGACACACGGTGAGTCTGAACACACGTGTTAAGCCATGGAGAACACACGGTGAGTCTGAACACACGTGTTAAGCCATGGAGAACACACGGTGAGTCTGAACACACGTGTTAAGCCATGGAGAACACACGGTGAGTCTGAACACACGTGTTAAGCCATGGAGAACACACGGTGAGTCTGAACACACGTGTTAAGCCATGGAGGACACACGGTGAGTCTGAACACATGTGTTAAGCCATGGAGGACACATGTGAAGCCTTCATTCCAGACAACTGCCCAAGTTGCCCCCTTGCTGTTTCCAAAGGGCCTAAATATCCAGAGTCAATGACAGCTCCTTAGGCTGCCTCACCCGCCGCGCTCCCGCGAAGGCCTGTGGCCAGGAAATGACCCCGCTTCTCCCGTGGGCGGCCTGTCCGGCTCGGGAGGCCCCTGCACCCCAGCCCTGGGGACAGACGCCCACCCAGGGCAGGCGGAATGGAGGCAGGGGGCAGAGAACGGCTCTTACCTTGAGTCAGCAGGAGGGCTGCGGAGAGAGGGGAGAGCAGGCAGTGAGGCTGGGGAGAGGCTGAGCGCCACGCCGAGGGGAAGCAGAGGAGAGGGCCGGGAGGGGGCAGGAAGCCCGGCCCGGCCGTGGGGGTGAGGGGCAATCAGTCCCGAGCTGGGTTTCCCCGCGGGGCTCCTGCCCACATGGCCCAGCGCAGAGCAATGGCTGACTCGCCCGTTGGCAGGGGGGTTCTCCGGCCCTGCACTGGGAAACGGGGCCCAAGCCACTGGATTCACCAGGGGACAAAGCACAGGGGCAAAGCCTCCAGATTTGGGGGGGAGTGCGGGCTGCTCCCCGACTGACTGCCCCCCTCGATGGCTCTCACTGCCAGCCGCACCCAGAGGCCTGGCTCATGCTACCCCCGATCTGGACACCGGACCCAACTCCCCACCCAGGGCCAGGAATACACAGAACCCAGGAGTCCTGGCACCCAGCCCGCTAACCCCTAGGCACCGCTCCCCTCCCAAAGCCGTGGATAGAACCCAGAAGTCCAGGCACTAACCCACCAGACCCACTTCCTCTGCCACAGCCAGGAATGCACAAGCTCTGCTTCCCAGCCCCCGCTGCTCTAACCACTAGGCCCCCGCCCCCCCGGAGCTGGGGATGGACCCTAGGAGTCCTGGCTCACAGTCCCCCACCCCCCTGCTCCACCCACTAGACCCACATTTGCTCCCAGAGCTCGGGATAGACCCGAGTCCTGGCACCCAGCCCTGCATTCTAACCACTAGACCCCACTCCCCTCCCTGCACCAAAGCAGACACCCCAGGCCCTGGCTGCAAAGGCCCACGCTGCCTCTTCCTGCACAGGCCCCGGGAGCCGATGCAGATGGAGCCATCGCGGCTGGAGCCCCGGGGCGGGGGAGGGGGGCGAGAAAGGCGGGCCCCCGCCTTACCCGAGATGCCCCGTTTCAGCCAGCGCGGCTGCCCCAGCTCGATGAAGAAGTTGTCCTTCTTCTCGTACTCTTCGTCGTCCACGATCTTCACCTGCAGGCTCTTCCTGCCGAGACACGGAGCAAGAGGCATCGTAGAGCCACAGAACCCTAAAACGGGCCGGGGCCCCCTGCCCTCCCGGCCGGACCCAGCACCGGCTACAGCATCCCTGACAGGTGTGCGTCCAACCTGCTCTTAAACGTCTCCTGTGATGGACACTCCACGGCCTCCCCAGGCAACTCATCCCAGGGTTTCACCTCCCTGACGGGCAGGAAGTTTTTCCTCATGTCCAACCTCAACCTCCCCGGCTGCAGCTTCAGCCCGTTGCTTCTTGTCCTGTCCTCAGAGGCCGAGGGGAGCAAGAGTTCTCCCTCCTGCTTGTGACCCCCTTTTAGATACTTGAACACGGCTCTCATGTCCCCCTCCGTCTTCTCTTTTCTAAACTGAACAAGCCCAGTTCCTTCAGCTCATGTTCTCTCCTTTCAGCATTCTCGTTGCTCTTCTCTGGACCCTCTCCAGTTTCTCCACATCTTTCCTGAAGTGTGGGGCCCAGACCTGGACCCAACCCTCCAGCTGAGGCCCAATCATAGACTCCGAGCAGCCACATCCCACCCGCCAGCGCCAGGCTCACCGGCCCCTAGGAGCCTGGGGGAAGCTGCCGGCAATAGCCAGTAGCAGATGCCAAGGGGAGGGGTTTGTCCTAAGCCCCGCCCTGCACCAGGAGTTCTTGGCCATGCTACTGTGGTGGCAGAGCCGCCACCTACTGTGTGGAATCAGAACTGCTCAGCCACATGTCAGGGCCCCTACACTGCCCGGGCGATTCTCCTTGTGCTCCAGCTGGAGCAGGGCAGCCAGGAGGTGGGCTTGATACTGGTCTCCCAAAGCCCCGAACATTGCGTCCCCTGCTCCCCATGGTTCCCTAGCAACCAGGAGAGAGAACAGCCTTGGGAACAGCGAGGGCACCTTGGCAGGCGGCTGGGGTCTGAGGTTGGGGGCCAGGGCAGATGTTCACACAGAGGCTCCTCCTGTGCCCCACTGGGTGCAGTGAGTCAGGCCCGTGCTGTGGGGTGCAGCCAATGGACTCAGCTGGTTTTGCCCACCAATTGGATTACGGGCAGGCGCCTCTCCAGGCAGGGGAGTCTGCGGGCGGAGCGGAGGAGGGAGCCAATTTGCGGAGAAGTAATTTAGTCTGCGGCTCTGAGGGGAGAGTTTTCGGGTTGTTTGTTTTTCCTCCCCAGAAGCCAAAGGTGGCAGGGGAGACCCTCCCCAGGCAAAGCCCTTTCAGCCCCCCCGGAACACCCAGGGCAGGGCAGCTGCAGGGGCAGGGCAGCCGGGGTGGGCTGGTGTGTCCCAGGAGAGCAGGCATCACACAAAGGAGGGGAGAAAACAGACCTGGTTCCGCCGCTGGCCCGGATCGTGACCCCCCCAACCTCCCACGGTGACTCTGCAGAAGGAACGAGCCCCCGACACCCTGCCCCCACCTCCGCACACAGCCTGCGGGGGGGCAGATCGGGGCCGTGGCCGGAGCTGTCTGAGCTGTGACTCTGCCCCCCAGGGTCCACGGGGCGGTGGATGGAGAATGGGGGCTGCTCTGACTTTCACCGTGGGCACTGCATCTGCCCCGGATGGGGCAGGGACTCGGCCCCCTCTTGCGACCCAGGTTAAAGCTGGCGCCCTCCTAGTTCCCCTCCACACAGGTACCTCAGCGACCCCCGACCAACCCGTGTCCCGGTCACCGTGCGGCCAGCCCTGGCTGTGAGGGGAGCATGGCCCCTACCCCTGCAGCCCTGCACCCCCACAGCCAGCAGCAAGGGAAACACAAAGGCAATGCGACGGCGTTCCTTCCTGGGGCAGGCTAGCGGGTCAGACACCGGGCAGGGACTCCACCTGGCACAAAGCAGAGTCCTTAATCGGAACAGAGTCACTTTTATTCTAGGAGAGTGTCCATGAGGTGTGTGTGTGCAGGGGGTGGTGTGGTGTGTGTGCGGGGGGGGGTGTGGTGTGTGTGCGGGGTGTGTGTGTGTATGTGTGTGTGTGTGGTATATGTGTGTGGGAGGTGCAGGGTGTGTGTGTGTATGTGGTGTGTCTGTATGTGTGTGCATGCACTGTGTGTGTGGTGTGTGTGCACAGAATGTATGTGGGGTGTGTGTGTGTGCAGGGTGTGTGCGGTGCTTGTGCGTGGTGTGTGTGTGTGTGTGTGTGGTACGTGTGTGGGTGGATGCAGGGTGTATGTGGTGTATGTATATGTGTGCAGGGTGTGTTCAGTGTACGTGTGTGTGTGCAGGCTGTGTGCGGTGCATGTGCATGGTGTGTGTGTGTCTGTGTGTGTGGTGTGTGATGTGTGTGCGTGCAGTGTGCAGGTGTGTACAGGGTGTACGGGTGTGTCTGTGTGTGTGTGTGGTGTGCGTGTGCAGTGTGCGGGTGGGTGCAGGGTGTACGAGTGTGTCTGTGTGTGTGTGTGTGGGTGTGTGTGTGGTGTGTGTGTGCAGTGTGCGAGTGGGTGCAGGAGGTACGGGTGTGTCTGTGTGTGTGTGGTGTGTGCGTGCAGTGTGTGGGTGGGTGGGTGCAGAGCGTACGGGTGTGTCTGTGTGTGTGTGCAGTGTGCGGCTGGGTGCAGGGTGTACAGGTGTGTCTGTGTCTGTGTGTGTGTGTAGTGTGTGGTGTGTGTGTGGGTGGGTGCAGGGTGTATGGGTGTTTGTGTGTGTGTGTGTGGTGTGTGTGCGGGTGGGTGCAGAGTGTCCGGGTGTGTCTGTGTCTGTGTGTGGTGTGTGTGTGTGGTGTGTGGTGTGTGGTGTGTGGGTGTGTGTGCAGGTGGGGGCACGGGGTACAGTGTGTCTGTGTGTGTGCGGTGTGTGTGCAGGTGGGGGCACGGGGTACAGTGTGTCTGTGTGTGTGCGGTGTGTGTGCAGGTGGGGGCACGGGGTACAGTGTGTCTGTGTGTGTGCGGTGTGTGTGCAGGTGGGGGCACGGGGTACAGTGTGTCTGTGTGTGTGCGGTGTGTGTGCAGGTGGGGGCACGGGGTACAGTGTGTCTGTGTGTGTGCGGTGTGTGTGCAGGTGGGGGCACGGGGTACAGTGTGTCTGTGTGTGTGCGGTGTGTGTGCAGGTGGGGGCACGGGGTACAGTGTGTCTGTGTGTGTGCGGTGTGTGTGCAGGTGGGGGCACGGGGTACAGTGTGTCTGTGTGTGTGCGGTGTGTGTGCAGGTGGGGGCACGGGGTACAGTGTGTCTGTGTGTGTGCGGTGTGTGTGCAGGTGGGGGCACGGGGTACAGTGTGTCTGTGTGTGTGCGGTGTGTGTGCAGGTGGGGGCACGGGGTACAGTGTGTCTGTGTGTGTGCGGTGTGTGTGCAGGTGGGGGCACGGGGTACAGTGTGTCTGTGTGTGTGCGGTGTGTGTGCAGGTGGGGGCACGGGGTACAGTGTGTCTGTGTGTGTGCGGTGTGTGTGCAGGTGGGGGCACGGGGTACAGTGTGTCTGTGTGTGTGCGGTGTGTGTGCAGGTGGGGGCACGGGGTACAGTGTGTCTGTGTGTGTGCGGTGTGTGTGCAGGTGGGGGCACGGGGTACAGTGTGTCTGTGTGTGTGCGGTGTGTGTGCAGGTGGGGGCACGGGGTACAGTGTGTCTGTGTGTGTGCGGTGTGTGTGCAGGTGGGGGCACGGGGTACAGTGTGTCTGTGTGTGTGCGGTGTGTGTGCAGGTGGGGGCACGGGGTACAGTGTGTCTGTGTGTGTGCGGTGTGTGTGCAGGTGGGGGCACGGTGTACAGAGTGTCTGTGTGGTGTGTGGGTGTACGGGTGTACGGTGTGTCTGTGTGGTGTGTGGGTGGGTGGTGCAGGGTGTACGGTGTGTCTGTGTGGTGTGTGGTGTGTGTGTGCAGGTGGTGCAGGGTGTACAGTGTGTCTGTGTGCTGTGGGTGCAGGGTGTATGGTGTGTCTGTGTGTGTATGGTGGGTGTGCAGGTGGGTGCAGGGTGTACGGTGTGTCTGTGTATGTGTGGTGTGTGTGTGGGTGGTGCAGGGTGTACGGTGTGTCTGTGTATGTGTGGTGTGTGGTGTGTGTGCAGGTGGGTGCAGGGTGTACAGTGTGTCTGTGTGTGTGTGGTGTGTGTGCAGGTGGGTGCAGGGTGTACGGTGTGTCTGTGTGTGTGCAGGTGGGCGCAGGGTGTAGGGTGTGTCTGTGTGTGTGTGCGGGTGGTGCAGGGTGTACGGTGTGTCGATGTGTGTGTGCGGGTGGTGCAGGGGGTACGGTGTGTCTGGGTGTGTGTGCAGGTGGGGCAGGGGGTACGGTGTGTCTGGGTGTGTGTGCAGGTGGGGCAGGGGGTACGGTGTGTCTGGGTGTGTGTGCAGGTGGGGCAGGGGGTACGGTGTGTCTGGGTGTGTGTGCAGGTGGGGCAGGGGGTACGGTGTGTCTGGGTGTGTGTGCAGGTGGGGCAGGGGGTACGGTGTGTCTGGGTGTGTGTGCAGGTGGGGCAGGGGGTACGGTGTGTCTGGGTGTGTGTGCAGGTGGGGCAGGGGGTACGGTGTGTCTGGGTGTGTGTGCAGGTGGGGCAGGGGGTACGGTGTGTCTGGGTGTGTGTGCAGGTGGGGCAGGGGGTACGGTGTGTCTGGGTGTGTGTGCAGGTGGGGCAGGGGGTACGGTGTGTCTGGGTGTGTGTGCAGGTGGGGCAGGGGGTACGGTGTGTCTGGGTGTGTGTGCAGGTGGGGCAGGGGGTACGGTGTGTCTGGGTGTGTGTGCAGGTGGGGCAGGGGGTACGGTGTGTCTGGGTGTGTGTGCAGGTGGGGCAGGGGGTACGGTGTGTCTGGGTGTGTGTGCAGGTGGGGCAGGGGGTACGGTGTGTCTGGGTGTGTGTGCAGGTGGGGCAGGGGGTACGGTGTGTCTGGGTGTGTGTGCAGGTGGGGCAGGGGGTACGGTGTGTCTGGGTGTGTGTGCAGGTGGGGCAGGGGGTACGGTGTGTCTGGGTGTGTGTGCAGGTGGGGCAGGGGGTACGGTGTGTCTGGGTGTGTGTGCAGGTGGGGCAGGGGGTACGGTGTGTCTGGGTGTGTGTGCAGGTGGGGCAGGGGGTACGGTGTGTCTGGGTGTGTGTGCAGGTGGGGCAGGGGGTACGGTGTGTCTGGGTGTGTGTGCAGGTGGGGCAGGGGGTACGGTGTGTCTGGGTGTGTGTGCAGGTGGGGCAGGGGGTACGGTGTGTCTGGGTGTGTGTGCAGGTGGGGCAGGGGGTACGGTGTGTCTGGGTGTGTGTGCAGGTGGGGCAGGGGGTACGGTGTGTCTGGGTGTGTGTGCAGGTGGGGCAGGGGGTACGGTGTGTCTGGGTGTGTGTGCAGGTGGGGCAGGGGGTACGGTGTGTCTGGGTGTGTGTGCAGGTGGGGCAGGGGGTACGGTGTGTCTGGGTGTGTGTGCAGGTGGGGCAGGGGGTACGGTGTGTCTGGGTGTGTGTGCAGGTGGGGCAGGGGGTACGGTGTGTCTGGGTGTGTGTGCAGGTGGGGCAGGGGGTACGGTGTGTCTGGGTGTGTGTGCAGGTGGGGCAGGGGGTACGGTGTGTCTGGGTGTGTGTGCAGGTGGGGCAGGGGGTACGGTGTGTCTGGGTGTGTGTGCAGGTGGGGCAGGGGGTACGGTGTGTCTGGGTGTGTGTGCAGGTGGGGCAGGGGGTACGGTGTGTCTGGGTGTGTGTGCAGGTGGGGCAGGGGGTACGGTGTGTCTGGGTGTGTGTGCAGGTGGGGCAGGGGGTACGGTGTGTCTGGGTGTGTGTGCAGGTGGGGCAGGGGGTACGGTGTGTCTGGGTGTGTGTGCAGGTGGGGCAGGGGGTACGGTGTGTCTGGGTGTGTGTGCAGGTGGGGCAGGGGGTACGGTGTGTCTGGGTGTGTGTGCAGGTGGGGCAGGGGGTACGGTGTGTCTGGGTGTGTGTGCAGGTGGGGCAGGGGGTACGGTGTGTCTGGGTGTGTGTGCAGGTGGGGCAGGGGGTACGGTGTGTCTGGGTGTGTGTGCAGGTGGGGCAGGGGGTACGGTGTGTCTGGGTGTGTGTGCAGGTGGGGCAGGGGGTACGGTGTGTCTGGGTGTGTGTGCAGGTGGGGCAGGGGGTACGGTGTGTCTGGGTGTGTGTGCAGGTGGGGCAGGGGGTACGGTGTGTCTGGGTGTGTGTGCAGGTGGGGCAGGGGGTACGGTGTGTCTGGGTGTGTGTGCAGGTGGGGCAGGGGGTACGGTGTGTCTGGGTGTGTGTGCAGGTGGGGCAGGGGGTACGGTGTGTCTGGGTGTGTGTGCAGGTGGGGCAGGGGGTACGGTGTGTCTGGGTGTGTGTGCAGGTGGGGCAGGGGGTACGGTGTGTCTGGGTGTGTGTGCAGGTGGGGCAGGGGGTACGGTGTGTCTGGGTGTGTGTGCAGGTGGGGCAGGGGGTACGGTGTGTCTGGGTGTGTGTGCAGGTGGGGCAGGGGGTACGGTGTGTCTGGGTGTGTGTGCAGGTGGGGCAGGGGGTACGGTGTGTCTGGGTGTGTGTGCAGGTGGGGCAGGGGGTACGGTGTGTCTGGGTGTGTGTGCAGGTGGGGCAGGGGGTACGGTGTGTCTGGGTGTGTGTGCAGGTGGGGCAGGGGGTACGGTGTGTCTGGGTGTGTGTGCAGGTGGGGCAGGGGGTACGGTGTGTCTGGGTGTGTGTGCAGGTGGGGCAGGGGGTACGGTGTGTCTGGGTGTGTGTGCAGGTGGGGCAGGGGGTACGGTGTGTCTGGGTGTGTGTGCAGGTGGGCGCAGGGTGTACAGTGTGTCTGTGTGTGTGCAGGGGGGGCAGGGTGTACGGGGTGTCTGTGTGTGTGGGCGGGTGGTGCAGGGTGTACGGTGTGTTTGTGTGTGGGTCTGTGTGCTCTGAACTCGTCCTTTCTCTCAGCCCATCAAGCCCTTAGTGCTGGATTTACCCAGGGCCCAAAGTGCACGGGTGCTGCCGCGCAGGAGCAGGCTGATCCCCCCTTTCCCCCGTCCCCCGTGGCCATTTCCCTCCCTCCCCCAGCCCCTGACTCACCCGCTCGGCGGCTCGGCGGGGGCGCGCTCACCACTTCCCTCCCACTGCTTGTTATTAAAAAAATCCACATCCTCTCCACATCCCTGAGTCATGAGAGCCGGCCTCCTCGCCCCGCTGCCCACCCTTCCCGGAGTGGATGGGGGGGCTTCGGGGTCAGGAGGCCTGGGTTCGACCCTGGTCTGAGACGTTCCCTGTGCGGTGCCTCAGTTTCCCCAACTTTGGACTAGACCGTGAGCTGAGCGTGCCAACTGCCACTGGCCAGCGTTCCATCTCCAGCCTGGCTGGAGTGGGTCAATAACCCCCAGAATGCACCAGAGGCGTGTCCTTTCCCTCCGGACCCCTGCGGGAGACGGGCAGCAGGCAGGAGGTTTGGGGCCAGGGAGCGGAAGGGGCGCCCGGGCGCTGGGCTCCCACCTGAGAATTCTCCGATTCGTTCCGCCGGCGCCAGGAGCTTGCACGTCTGCATCGCCGGGTTCCAGCTCAGACGCGTGATGCTGACACAGCTCCCGTGCTGGGCTCGGGGGGCGGGGAATTGCTCCCGCGCCCCGGAGACGCCCCGCCCCTTCCCCGTCTGTCTCCCCCGCCCCTTCCTGAGCCGCCTCCTCTCCCCAGTTCAGCCAGTCCAAGCCCCATGTTCTCACTACTGCATATATAACCCAGACCCCGGCCGAGCTCAGGGCCCATCGGGCCAGGCGCTGCCCAGACCCCAGCCGAGATCAGGGCCCCATTGGACCGGGCGCCCCCAGACCCCGGCCGAGATCAGGGCCCGTCAGGCCGGGCGCCCCCAGACCCCGGCCGAGATCAGGGCCCGTCAGGCCGGGCGCCCCCAGATCCCGGCTGAGATCAGGGCCCGTCAGGCCAGGCGCCCCCAGACCCCGGCCGAGATCAGGGCCCGTCAGGCCGGGCGCCCCCAGATCCCGGCTGAGATCAGGGCCCGTCAGGCCAGGCGCCCCCAGACCCCGGCCGAGATCAGGGCCCGTCAGGCCGGGCGCCCCCAGATCCCGGCTGAGATCAGGGCCCGTCAGGCCAGGCGCCCCCAGACCCCGGCCGAGATCAGGGCCCGTCAGGCCGGGCGCCCCCAGATCCCGGCTGAGATCAGGGCCCGTCAGGCCAGGCGCCCCCAGACCCCGGCCGAGATCAGGGCCCGTCAGGCCGGGCGCCCCCAGATCCCGGCTGAGATCAGGGCCCGTCAGGCCAGGCGCCCCCAGACCCCGGCCGAGATCAGGGCCCGTCAGGCCGGGCGCCCCCAGATCCCGGCTGAGATCAGGGCCCGTCAGGCCAGGCGCCCCCAGACCCCGGCCGAGATCAGGGCCCGTCAGGCCGGGTGCCCCCAGACCCCAACTGAGGGTCAGTCTCTTATGCGAAGAGCTCACTGGCAGACAAAAGGCAGGAGGGGAAACCGAGGGGACGTGACTTACTCAGGGACTCTCAGGCATCTGGAGCCAGGAAAAGAATCCAGGTCTCTTGACTTGACCCCGGTGCCCACCTTCCCAAAAGGACCCCGCAGGCCTGATCCCACGAGGTGCCGAGCATCTTTATGAACTGGGCGTGTGTTTGTGTCCACTAGGCCTCTGCTGTGTACGAGGTGGAATCAGAATTGTTCTGTTGGGCGTCATAAGCCCTATACTGCTCGTGGGGATTCTCCTTGCACTCAAGGAGCTGGGGGCTCTTGGAGCAGGTGGATGTAAGTGCTGCCGCTGCTGAGAAGTTCCACCACCTGCCTCCTCCACGGCCTGTGCATCCCTCCACGCCTCCGACACACGAGACGCCCTGCGCTGCTGTGAGTGCGCGAGCGAGCCGGGCTTTTAAGCCACTTGACCCAGACAGTCACTTACAGGGAATCAACAGCCCCTGAGACGCCCGGTGCCTTGAAACTGGAGTCTCCATCAGCCGGGAGCAGTTGCCATGGCAACCTGCATCCCTCCTGGCTGACATTCCCCGCAGATAAATCAAGGGCTGACAGTGGGAGGGGCAGGGTGGGGGCAGGCAATCAAGGCTGTGGGGGGAGGGTGCGGAGCTGAAGGCTGAGGGGGTGGCGAGAGCCAGACAGGACGGGGTGAATGATTCACCCGGCTGATTCCCCACCCTGAGCTAAGGTGCTGGCATCCCGCAGCCACCTCCCTCTGCTTCCCACGCCCTGCCGCCAGCCTGCCACCCCACACGGCCGGCCCGCTTGAGCGGCTGGGAGTCCGGGCTTCCAGGGGTCCCCGCTTTCAGCAGAAGCCCCCAGCGCGCCCCCCAGCAGCGGAATCCCAGCAGTGCACGAGGCAGTGGCGCAAATGAGACTTTGATACGGGGCACAGTGGCTCCGTTCTTTTTGGGGAGAGCCATGTGGCCACACCCCTTCGGAGGGGGGCTAATTAGCCCCACCCCCTGTGGGAGGAGTCAGACAACTCCCCTCTCTTACGTGTCAAAAACCGCTTTGGAGGTGGAGTCATGGAGCTCCACCCCTTTTGCCTTTGGGGGCGGGGCGAGGAGACCCCACTCTTTTATAGGAGCCGCTTGGCCCCACCCCCTTTGTGGGCGTGGCTACACGACCCCGCCCCTGTACTGGCAGCAATAACCACAGACTTTAGGGAGGGTCTTTGGTCCAGGTTGCTTATTATTAGATGCAGTCGTCCGCATCTCAGCGGGGCGCTGGCCACCAGCCAGGGTGGAGGGAGCAGCCGGGGGGGGGCAAGGGGGCCCCTCACGCTGACTGGCTCCCTCGCCCACAAAGACTCCCTTGGCCGGAGGCCAGAGGAACCCATCGAAGGGCTAAACCCACAGCATGTCCCGCTTCCTGCCTGGCTAATTGTGGGGCCCACTGCTTGTCACTCACATGGGGGGGGTTGTCCCCCGTGGCATCGCGGGCTGGGCTCAGCCAAGAGCTTCCCTGCTCCAGGTACCAAAGCGTGCGGGCTGGGGCGTGTCTACCCAGGTGCAGTGTGGACACCCCCTTCTCCACCGCTGGACCCCCAATCAAATCACAGCGTTGCAGGACTGGAAGGGACCTCGGGAGGCCTCAAGACCATCCCTGGCAGGCGTCTGTCCAGCCTGCTCTTCGAGATCTCCAGCGATGGAGATTCCACAATTTATCCCAGTGTTTCACCCCCCGAACAGGCAGGATGTTTCTCCTCGTGCCCAACCGAAACCTCCCTGGCTGCAGTTCCAGCCGCTTGCCGCTTGCCTAGCCTCAGAGCTGTTAAGCCAGAAGAGAAGAGCCACGCGGACAGGTCTCTTCAAGTTACAAGGAAGTTTGTTTTCTGCCTCCTCCTTGTAACAACCCTTCACGAACCTGAGAGCGGCTTTCGCGTCCCCTCAGTCTGCTCTTCTCCAGGCCAAACAGGCTCATTTGGTTCCCTCTCCCCAGAGGTTGTTTCCTCGCCCTCTGCTACTCTCTGGGCCGTCTGTCATTTGCCTGACTCTCCTGAACCGGGGGGCCCTGAGCTGGGCCCAAGACCCCGGCGGAGGCCTAAGCAGCTCAGGGCAGCAGAACGGCTGCTTGTGTCTTGCTCAGCGCACGCCTGTGAGCGCAGCCCAGAATCACATTTGCGCTCTGCAACAGGGTCACGCTGCCGACTCCTGTTCAGCCCAAGCGCCGCTCGGACCCCAGCTCCCTTCGTGCAGGAGCCACCGGAGATGTGCAGCGCTACCGACCCGACGTCCCCACGGCCGGCTCCGCTTCGATTTTCGCTCGTTGGCTCTACAGCGAAGGGGGGAATCAATCCACCCACCCTGAGCTGTTTATACCGTTGAATTAGCGAGCTCTTCCCTGGCTAATTTTCCAAATCTAAAAACGCCATGTGCAGGCGGGTGTGCTCGCTGGCGCCGTTTGCGTGCAGCTAATCTCTCTCTCCTGCTTTGAGCTTGTCAGCCCGTCTAACTGGCATCGCAGTGCAGTTTTCTCCCCCTCTCGGAAGCTGTGCCGCCATTAACTCCAGTGTGCAGGAAGGCGAGCCCGATGGAACATTATTGCTGGGTTATTTGCTCTGCCACTGAATGGGACCCAAGAGGAGTGGCATGCGGCTGTTGCTGGAAGCGTCCCTAGCATGGGGCAGTGTATGTGAGAGACAGAGAGACCCCGAGGAAAAGAATTGGACATCCAAGTCCCTCTGGAAGTCCAGGAGTTAACAACGGAGCCGTCGGGCGGTAGCCTGGAATTGGGGAAGCATGAGTTCAAATCCTCCCCGTTATGTTGGGAATGTTACTTTTCCTTTGGGGGCGCAGCTGTGAACTAGCTGGATTTGCATATCATGGTGCCTCATGGGAGTTGTAGTTCAGGCCCCCATTCACATCTATGGAATGACCCCCCCAGCTGAACTACACCTCCCATGATGTCTTTGCCTCCTCTCACCATGGGGGGAGTGATGCATCATGGGAGATGTAGTCCTGACATACGGAGAAGCCGAGGTGTATGAGGGACACTAACTACAATGCCCGCGAGGGACCTCCAGCCCTTTCACATCAAAATGTTTTGGTTTGAGACACTGACCAGCAATGTGCCCTCTCAGGTTTTTGCATGTGGTGTGGAATAAATTTTGTCACGTGCACCAAGGCATGTGCAGATGTGCACCACCCATGGAAACACCTGCTGCTGGCTGTGGGCGCTCTGCCAATCAGCTGGGTGGCATTTGAACCAATCCTGGATGGCCGCCCCAGTACTCTGCTCCCAGGGAGCCCTGCTGAGCAGATGTCAGAGGGGCTGAGAGACTGGAGCCACGTGGGGAAACTGAGGCCTTCCAGGAAAGCAGGAACAGAATCCAGGGCCCCCCAAATCCCAGGGCTAACCACACCACCCACCCGAGGGGCCGCTCGGAGCCCACAAGCACCCTTAGCCTGTCGGCGTGGCGCGGTGTCCCACGGAACGAGCCGAACACGCGGTGTCCTCACCAGCCGGCCGGGTTCTGCGGGAAGAGGCGAAGGGGCTTTTCCCGGCATGCCCCAGTCAAGAGAGTTCTTGGCTGCCAGACAGCTGCTGTCCATGGTGCTGAAGCAGAAACCCAGTTCCCCTCCCTTCTCCACTGCCAAGGGCACCTGCCAGGCCTTCGCCCACACGGCTGGCCACAGACCCGGCCACGGCACCACTGGGCCTTGGACACGCTGGCCCCAAGGGCCCTGGAGTTGCCAAGGAACAGTGGCTCTGCCTCGCGATGGAGAAAAACACAAAGCTAGTGGGTAAGAGCCGGGAGCCGGGAGGGCAGGACTCCCAGGTTCTGTACTTGGCTCCAGGAGGGCAGTGGGCGCTAGTGGATAGAGCTGGCAGGGGTGGGAGCCAGGACTCCTGGGTTCTCTCCCCATCTCTGAGAGGGCAGTAGGGGCTAGTGGTTAGAGTAGGAGGCTGGGAGCCAAGATGCCTGGATTCTCTCCCCAGCTCAGTGAGAGCAGTAGGAGCTAGTGGTTAGAGCTGGGCACCAGGACACCTGGGCTCAGGGAGGAGAGGTTCCAACCCAGAAGGAGGCAGAGTGCCTGGGCTCTAGGCTCCAGGCTGGGAAGGAGGGGACCGTGTTCTTAGAGGAGTGTGACCTGGGTATGACCTGGGGTGCAGTGGCAGGGCTCCCCAGAGGGCAGCGACAGAACAAGTCCATGGAGGTGGTGACAACAAGGGAAGTCTTGTTGAGGGGACCCCAACATCCATCCCCGGCCAGGGCTCAGAGGCCCCGCTCCCCGGGCCGTGGCTGACCCGTGGCCACCTGTGAGCACGAGAGCAGCAGGAAGATTCCCCAGGGCTCCGGGCCGGGAACGAGGCCGACGTCTGACGT